ATAAATATATCAATATTAAAGATAATTATTAATATTTCTAGTCTCAAGACTTTATAATATTATACTTTAAAACCGTGTCTAAATTTCTATTTATTTTTTACTAATATTTTTTAAATATTAATAAAAAAGTTTTTAAAAAATGCAAATTTTTATTAATATTTTTTAAATACTAATAAAAAAAGTATTTAAAAATATAAATTTCTATTAATATTTTCTTGAATATGTTTCTGGTTAAATATTGTATTCTCTGAGTATGGTTATTTTGTCTGATGAACCAACAGAGTTTGATATTTATTACACTAGTATCTATAAATTAAAACATTTCTAGCTTTGCCTTCACACTGTTAGAAATTTCTCGGATAAAATAGTTAAATACCAATTTATTTATTTGTAATTTTACCATATTCTAACAAAACAGTCAAATAACCTTAATTAGATGGTATTAAAACTGTTAACTTTGAGAAAAATCATATTTAACTGCTTTAACCTAATACGGTTAAACAACCAGAATTTTATCGCCCTAACTGGGCTTACCAAACGAAGCCATTTAGTTCCTTGCAGCTGGGTACACATTATAGGCAAGAGGGCTCAATCTCATAACCGACAGAACGGAGGTTCGAATGGCACTACGATTTTTCTTCCATTCCGTTAAGCATATGAATAGTGTTTGCGACCCTGGGCTATTAGAATTCGATACGCTCATTTACACATAGATGACAGCACTATAACGACAACTTCTAGAACATCTCCAAGTCCAGTTCAATTTCTTTTTCATGGTTTTGAAACCATGCTAGTTGTAAGTGGTTAAAAAAACTATATAGTTTTATATTCATGGTTTTTAACCATGCTAGTTGTAAACGGTTTAAAAACCGTAAAGGAAAAAATGTTCTTCACCGTAAATTTTACAGTTATTTGGATGGACAAACTGCTGTCGTTTATTTTACCATAATTTTAGAATGAAAATTCTTAAAGTGCAGTTATAAAAAACTGGCTGCAGTGTGCCCTACAGTACTGCAAAATGATATTAAAGTGATTTTTTCCCATAATTTAATAATATAAAGTAAAAACAGGAATCAATTATTTTTTAAAAATATTTTTTCGAGTCTCGGTTATATGACCACTTTAGTATTAGGTAGGTGTCTGGATTTAGGTTTTGATTTAACGTGATATCAATTCAATATATTTATATTTCTACAGGCCGTTTTTTAAAAATATTATGCAGAAAATTATGGAAAAGGAAGATTCTCTATCAATATTTACTAGCATTTGTTCGCATATTTTTCCAAAACAAAATTGTGCTCAATAAGTTTGTTTCAATACGTTAACGACACAATTGAAAAATTTCATCTGAATCATATACAATAAATCCGAGAGTCATGAGTTTAAAAAAAATATTGCAGCTATTTTGTTTTTCTTCAAATCCTAGTATTTATTGAATTATAATTAAATAAATTGAATATATTATGTATTTTTAAGTAAAATTAAATTGTTAAAAATTAATATGATGATTGAAAACAAAACATTTGAGTCATTTCCATTTAAAATCATATGAATTGTAAGCATTTTTGGGAATGTTCATTTATTTTGCGAAAAAACAACCCTTATTGATCGCTTGAATAGATTTTTTTCTATTATTTTTAGTTTTTAGGGAAAATATTGTAAAATGTTTTAAGCAGAGAATTTTTATCTTGTATTTTTCTTATTCTTTTCGTATTAAAAAAGCACCGTAATAGTTTGTAAAATGATAGTTTTGTATATTATTTATTGTAATAATATACAAAATAATATAGATTTTTTTTAATATTTATTCTATAAAATATGTTTCTCTTATTTCTTGGAAAATAATATTGAAAGTTAAGCAGCATTTAATAAAAATTGAAAGGATAAATACAGGAATGATTTCTCAAAGAAGTTATATAAAATATGTTAGTTTTAAAATTCAAAAGTCCAAAAACAAAAAAGAAAAATATTTGGCGAAAAATGTGAATCAGGTTAGATTCAAATACAAAAGCCTTAGAAAAATCCGTTTTTCCATACAATAATTTGCATGCTTAATTTGATTTCGTTATTTATCATAAAGAACAATTAAAATGACAGAAATTAGACATTATTAAAAAAATGAAGAAACTTGAAGATTCAAAATCTCTATTGACATAAAACAAACTCTGACTAAGAAAAGATCTTTAATCTTCATATTCAACACCTGTAACTCTCTTAAGTCCATGCCTGTGTTTAAAAGGACGAAAAGAATTAACAATAGAACAATAAAAAGGAAGGATAAAAAGCAAATAGGAAAAAAATGGAACTGCTTCTGATCTGTATTTATTGATTGGAAAGATGAGAGCTTGAAAGCTAAATTGATCATTTTTAAGAGTCTCTAAAGTTAAGTTGAAGAGTATTTGTTCCGTGAATTGTATTGACATACTAGAAAAAAAATATGTTGGTAGACTGATCTTCGTTGAAGCGATAATTTTCAAACGTTGTAATTTGCGAGTTCTTTAAGTGGGTATTTAGTTTCGCTTTCCAATACGAAAGAAAACAAAATTCCTTTCTCTTTGTTTATATACTTTCAAGTTATGCTTTGTGAGCATCTTCTGTTGTTAATTAAATTATGTTAAAATGAGATATGGAATTATAATAGTTTGTTCAACTTTTTAAATAAGGAAAGCTTTTTATCCCAATTGTTAATGATTTAATAGGGACAGTGGTATAAGCAAGTTCTCTAAGACACTGTTTCGATATTATTTATCAAAGCATGTCAGCGTCTTTTAAAAAAGTAGTTGATAAAGAAGCTTCTACTCAAATTTATAGAAGATAATTCCGTATAGAATTAGAAAGAAAATTTCATGAAAAGATATTGAAACATTTAAATAGTTCACACACTGTCAAAACCTTTAGTGCATGTTGAACTATAATACAGCACAAGTTTTCTGAAACCTTAATATGGGGCTAAGTTAAACTCTACAATCGTATTTTATTGTTATTAATACGATACTATAATTCAACTTGAATGGCAACTTGCTTCAATCTAACACCTTATTGAGTTTGGACTTGGTTTGCACCATATTACGTTTTAAGATACACATATTATGATTCAACGTTGAACCGATTTTTTCTTAGATTGTTCTTATAAAGTGTAATTACTTTGTGGAATTAAAACACCGCAATACGACTTTTTGGCATAGTTAAAACAATTTAGTTTACAAATTTTTACGTTTTAAAGGCTTGTAGAACAAAATCAGTTGTAAATTACGGCTTAAAAAATTAAATCCTCTTCCCGTAGGAAATAATACCCTCTAATTGCAGGTTTTATTGTTGGAGAAAGTTGATAGATTTTGTTTGTATAACTGCCATATTTCTATAAAAAAAATTGAAGAATAAATGGACAGATTTTCTTCGAGCTTACTTTTGGAGACCTTCTAATTTTATAAACGCTTATATTTTTGAGTATAGTTTTTCAAATATTTTTTATCACCTATTAATTCCATGATGAAGGGATTTTTACAAATAAAATTATATTTTATTCCCTAACATCGCATTTAATACAATTCTTTAGAAACAATATAATAACATTGTAAAATAGGCTGGAAAAAATTAAACTGTCTTTGAATATTGATTTTTAATGGCTGTGTTAGAGGGTTTTTTCTTCTTTTATTTTTGCAACTCGCAATAAAATATGACACAAGACTTATAGTAGAAGGCATAAAAAACAACTAATGTTAAATCCTTAAACTTTCACGTAACTTAGTCAAATTTATTTTCTTTTTAATAAAACTATTGTTACAACTGTCTTAAAAACTCATAACAACATTTAAAATAAAGTTGAACTTAATATAACGTGTTCAGGGCTGAAAGCCCATATATATCGAGACGGAAAAGAGTAAAAACTGGTAACAAATAAATTTCATTTTTTAGTTTTTTTTCGGGAATAATAAAAATCCATAACTACCAATTGTTTTTTACGGATGCAATTTTTATATTGAATTGCTTCTTCACCGTGAAAAATTTCCTTACAGTGAATTGTTATTGTTGAGAATAGATCGACTCCTTCCGAATATTATCTAATATTGAAATAGTTCATCTACCAGTATTTTCTCTTTTCCGTCCCACTTTCAGGCCTGAACGTGTTTCAACTGATTAAGCCTAACCATTTTCGAAGCACCTCATTTTATCTTACGGTAATACGTACTTGGTTTGCGTAGCTAAAGTGTATATATTCTATTGTTGGCTTAATTGTGGCAAAAAATAATAAATTTTACAAATGGTTTCCATTCTATAGTTGCATATTTACCCTTTGTATTCGTGAATTTACTCTCACTCACCAAAGCTATTTTACCGTTCCTGTCTGCTCTTAGCTTCTTTAGCAAGGAACCATATCGACCTTACATTATTAAACGATACTGCTCATTTAAGACAAAAGGTATATTTGGAGGCATGTGAAATTCAAAGTAATAATTTGCAAGTTGTGTTTAACAAAATATGGTTAACAAATTGTAGTCTTTTTATATAAAATTTTTTTCTTCATTGTCCTATTTATTTATTACATTCGTCCAACAAAAGTTTCCAAAAAAATAACAACTATGTGGGCTTAACATGACCATAAAAGATTAGAGTTAAATGTGTAGTCTATACAAAAATGAAACAAGTTATTGAAGAGATACCCTCATAAATCTCCAAAATTTTGAAAGACAATGCGATTTGTGTGGAAAATAATCCATGAGAAAAAAATTTATAACTTTTAAATACATTTTCCCCGAATATGTAAGAATGATTTAATAACCACAATTGAATATTCGATTGTTTTCATCCTCTACAAAAGTACCTCTGTCAGTCGAGGCAAATAAGAAAGTATTTGAGTAAAGTACCTTTATTCCCTTTGCCTCAGCCCAAACGTAGATCATTTTATAAAGCACCAAATTATTTCCTTTGTGCTTGTTACTTTTTTTTACTTCACTTTGCTTTTCTATTAACATAAAAAATTACCCCTACCCATATTGATACTAAAAATGATCATCAAATTTCAGCTTACCTGATCTATAAAGCAAGTTGTACTTGTGAGCACGGTTTGTTGTAGAGCTTGCTAGTGATGATGCACTCATAGCAATAGCAGAATCAGAATCACTATGGTAACCAGATATATCAGTGCAGCTGTCATCATCATCGCCAAACTCTTTAATCAGATCTAGTATTTGCTGACATCCCTGAGAAAATCTCATGAGAGCTGATGCTACAACTGCATTTGGGCTGACATCTTTTACTTCTTTGCGAAGCTGGGTAAACTGGAATAATGCATCTTTATCCATCTCAATCCTTTTCTGTAGGATAGCTAGCAACGTATTCATAGACTGATTATTCAAAGTAGGTTCAATTACATTAAGAAGTGTCTTATTTTTTATAAGCCTTTCTTGTATTTCTTCTTGATGTAAGCTGAGTTGCCTTTGATGGCTCGCCTTTATAGGGGCTGGTCCATGTGACAAGGATGTTGTGATTGGTTGTTTGGAAGCTAGGCTTAACTCATCCAGCTTCTGAACAGCACACTTATAACGATGGATTACTCTTTCGAATTCCAGCTTTAGAGCCTCGTGTAAATTCATCAAAGTATTTCCTGAAGTTCCGACCATACCATGTTGACCAAGGCCTTTAATGGACTTTTCTAATGATTTTTTCCTGGTGCTGATCAATTTTCTCATCCTTGGCTCTGATAAAACAATTACCTAAAAACAAAAATAACTGTTAGCTTTACATTTCCTCTATTTCAGCATTTATCAAGTATTATACCCTATATGAATATAAGGTATTAAATAATGTAGTAAGTAAAACAAAGAAGAAAGGTCTATTAGCTTTTGTAATCCTAAATATTATGGACCTCACTCGTGATAAATCACCTTTAAAATTAAAATTGTATAATTTTAATGTAAGATGAAATTCGGGGATAAACGCTAGGCTTATCGAGCTTACCCTTTTGCAGTAAATAAAAACTACGGCTTATTTAGTAGCTAACATACGACAATCATATTCACAGTTTTAGAAAATTTATAATAAATAAATACATACAATGAGAAGCAGAATTTCCGTTTTTAGTACTTATACGGCCCCAAACATGAAATATTTTCGTCTGTGCATTTTCTAAATATTTGCATTTTCAAAAATTTATATAAAATTGCCAAAATAACAATTGTTTGAAAAAATTGAAACACATATATTGATATATTGCTAAAAATGCGATTGTTTTCTAAACGAAATGTTTTTGCAATGAAGCCATAAATTGATCCTAATGAGCATGAAACTATGTATTGTCAGTAAACAAACAAACAAAAAAAATGGATAAATAAATAAATAAATAAAACTTTAGCAGTGAAAAAGCAAATAAGGAAAATATCTTCATGTACTTTTAAAAAAAAATCAGTTTACCTTAACACCAAAAATGCTGGCAACTATACATCAAAACTTTTTACAGTGCACATTTGTGTCAGTCAGCTTATTATTTTCTTGTAAAAAAAAGATAAGAAAACAATGTTGCGTAATCAGTCCTAGAATTTTCGATGCATCCACCGATAACAGTGCTGACGAAATTATCCTCGGTGGTAAATATATCATGGGTGTGAGTCCCCCTGCCGTTCAGCAAACCGTGGGAGGGTTTCGTAGTTTTCCTCTCTATGTAACGCAAATGCGGATTAGTTCCATCAGAAAGTCCTCCACGAAGGCAAGTTTCTCCCTATATTTGATACAGGATTTCCCTTGTCTTCTGGATTGGGTTCAAAATTACAGGGCTACAAAGTTGAACACCGGAAGTCGTAAACTCAAAATTGGATCGGCTCAACGACTGTGATAAAATGAAATAAATCCATATCAATGTCAAATAAGCAAATTTTAATTTCAGTGCTTTCCCATTTTATATGCGCAAGTACTCAGTTTTTAACCATAAATACAATTCAAATTTTCATCATTTACATTTACTAACTACTATTACGCTTTTTATTTGAATTGTAGCAAGCGAAAGATAATATTAAATTTACATTCACCGTTGAGAATTTTTTAGTAACTCAAAAATATAGTATAAAAGCATTTTGCACTGAAAAGGTAAATTATTGTATATTTGGGGGAGAACACAAATTTATGTTCCGATAAAAAGCAAAATTTTCTCCTCTTTATTTATGACAGACAATATCAAGTGCAAAACCCTTTTCCTTATAAGTAATAACAATATATATGGATATCCTCAAACTGACATCATCAATAATATATGTATATCATATGGATAAGCTTACTAACATTGCAAAAATTTCATACTTTATGCCCATTTATGAAGGGGAAAAAATGAGTTGAAGAATATATATATTGTACTCTTAAGTTTTTATATCTAATTTTCTATATATAAATGTCAGATAAACTCATAATTATCTGGATTAAGTAGTCTGATGGGATTCATGTGTTTCAGACATTTTTTTGTTCTTTTTCGTCCTAGTGTAAAATTGTGTAGTTTTACTTTTTCTCAAAAGAAAAAATCATCTATTCATTTGGCCACATTATGTACCCCCTAATAAGCCTATAATTATTTCCTCTGGTAAGGTACACTAGTATCCGGTAATATAATACGTGGTACGATATAAATATTATGAGTCAATATTAGGGAACGATATTGGGCCATGTGTTGAAACAGAATATTGACTTCAAATTTCCTCATTTTAAAGCTAATAAACACACTATTATGTATATACATGCATATTAAACTTGATTGTCATTGTGTACTCCCTAATAAACCAATAATTATTTTCTCTGTTATGGTAAACTAGTATCCTGTAATATAATACGTATTCCAATATAAATATTATGAGTCAATATTAAGGAACGATATTGGGCCATGCGTTAAAGCAGAATATTGACTTCGAATTTCCTCATAATTATTAATTATGAGGAAAGATGAATTATGAGTTAATTTGCTAAGTAATTTTATTTATAAATCATTTATAAAGTAATACATCTATGACTTTTCGAAAACTACTTTCGAGACTTTTCACACAGGTAAACTCTTCTCTTTTAACTTCTAAAGTATAGCTTAAAAACACTCTTTTTTTCGTCTTAAATGAACATTTCTTATTCACAAAGGCCATCAGTGTTAAAATAGTGAAAAGCTTTTTGTCTGAAATATTTTATTTTATTATTTCATAGCTTTGAGAAAATCTTTCGAAACTTGGCAGTAATGAGTCATTAAATATGAATAATTTTCTGCTCACTTTCCTCATAAATTTCACTTTTTTATACCTTTTCCTATAAAGTGCTTTCACTTAAACTAGCTCAGTTCAAAAATGGATCATTTTGTTTCTTTTTAAGTACAAAGTAATTCTCTATTACGACGAAAAAGATAAATAGCAATATTTAAACAACTCGTTTTAAAATGCTATTTGATGCATAATTGAGAAATAAATATTTGATCAAAAGTATAGAAATGCGCATTCAAAAAATTCAAATTTGAAATACTTCGGACTCCTAAAAGTCTCCATCAGAAGGAAAAATAATTTTACTTTCTTGGTGTTAATTTACGAAAAATTATAAGACTGCTATTTCTTAACTAAATAAGTAACAAGCTCATATTTTTTTAAATGTTTGCTAAATTTTATTTATTGAAATACTTTCTACTGAACCTAGATACTAAATTTTTAACTCAACGCTTGATTGCATTTTTTAAACTCGAAATTTGAAAAAGACTTAAGATAATTTCAAAATTATAGTTTCAAAATTATAGTTTAAAATTTCATAACTAGGGCAAAAAAAAGCAAAAATGTGTATTAGTTACACAATAAATTAAGAAATTGAGTTCATATAAAAATCTCTTTTAGGTTAACATGATGGAAGAAGAATAACTTTAATGTCTTAACTTTTAAAATTTGAAATATCAAATTTAATAAGTGTGTCCTAAAAATAATGTCATTTAAACCCTTTAATGTCAATTGTCCCTTTTAAGGGCGATTCTAAAAGGGTATCATAAGATCTCAAATATTTCTTTACGTGAATTGCAGGCGTAATTTTCAATAACTTTTATGGCGAGTATTTAACTTTTATATCAGCGAGTATCAAACTATGTTTCTTGCATCAATTCTAAATGCAGATTTTTCTTTTTATCTTCAAATCCAACATAACAGTAGTTTTACACAACTTTTATGTTTGCTTAATTATTAGCTAGTTATTAGCTTGTATCCAGAATCTATTTCTCAAATAAAAGTTGTAAAGTTGTTTTTTTTAGGGGAATCACTTTCAATTCTGGTCTTAATAGTATTGTGTATTTACATAAAAGATCAAAAAAAATTTTAAATTTTTCAGCTTTTTTAAATGAAACCAAAGAAATTCACACGATATCACTTGAATCGTAGACATTAAAGTAAGTCTGTAGTAAGACTAAATTGAAAATCCACTTGAATTGTAGACATTAAATATTAATTTGAAAACTAAGACTTCTCTGAGTCGAAAAATTATTTTAAATTTTTCTAAGTGAAATAATTAATTATATTATTTAGTTAAGAAATAAATTTATTTTATTTAAAAACTGAGTAACTTAATAAATTGTTAAACTTAGAGCAAAATAGTTTTTAAACTTAGTGCAAATATTTTAAGAAACGATAGACATTTTTGAACTAAATTACTTGAATTGTTTAACACATTTTATGAAAAATATTTACATGATTAAAACATTGCTCTGGATTTTAGTGATCAAATCAAAATGTATTTAAGTTCGCTTAACATATAATACATAATGAAATACACCTGCAGTTAAAATTTTAATTCACAGACCAATATTTTTGTGTATTTCATAATATTTTTTTTAATTTGACTCCTATTATGGAAACGGGTCATTTTACTCGTAAATTCATAATTCATTTAACTATGTGACAGTGTGTTTTAAAATAATTAATTATTTTAAAAAAAGAAGAAAACATGAAATTAAAAACGTTCTTAAAAATATTAATTATTTTTAATTTGAAATTACGTATCATAATTTGTTCCCCAAATGAATTTCAAAATATTTAAGCATATTTTTCAATTGCAAGAAAATTCTTGAATACAAATATAAGAAAACTTTAATTAAAGCTTTTGCTTAAAATTTAATTTATTACATAAAGTAAATAATATAGAGTCTCAACTCTCAAGAAAAAATACCACTAATTAAGTATCAGTACTAGAGCTTTAAAAGAATTTTGAGGGAAATAAAAAAAAAGATATTATTCAAAAAAATTTATCGGATATTTTGCTCGATATTCGCTGAGACCTATGCATTATTTTTTGTTTGAATCCATCATTTAGAACTGATTTTATAAACTTAATCTATTTTAAGAAGTTTTCCCTGGAAAAATAAAAATTATTATTTATTAAAACAAAGCGATGATTTTGTTCAATCTGCCGGCAAAGGTTAAAAAATTAACACTGAGCTTGGAAAAAAGCAAAGAAAAAGAAAAAAAAAGAAAGAAAGAAATTGTTTTATTTTTCTGTAATTAATGATTTCTACTAAAACTTGTTAATTATGATAATTAAAACTTCATTGTTCAAAATTAACCAAAAATTAACAAAACTTTAAGATTTGATTCTTGCTACAAGAAATTGAAAGAACTGCAAATCTTACCTTCAATAACTTCTTGCAAGAAGCCACAATAGGATGATTCACATCAAGTGTTAGCATATTCATTGGGGATTCTTCTTGCTGCAAAGCAAATACTTTAACCATCTGCATTACTACACTATCAGGACGCAAGAGTTTAAGAGGTATCTCAAGACTATCTGCAAGAAATACTCTAGCATATAAAGCTTCTAGAATACCAAGGGTATGAGGAATATTATCCACGAATAGTTCAACCGGTAGCTCACCGAGGATTGCTTTGAATGTACTATAGTTTAACCTATTGATGAAATTTGCAGCTTCTCTATAATGCTGATTCTCGTATAGCAGCAGAACTCTTCGAATCGCTACACCAGGGCTTACATCAGCAATTGTCATACTACCAACCCTGCTTTCGACGTCATCACCATATCCTTTTGCCCAGTCATTGGTTCTCCAAGTCATTTTTTGGATATTTTTTCTACTATGTCTTTCAGGGCGAATTCTATTACCTCGGTCGATAATAGCATGCCCAGCTTGTTTATAAGTCCATGTAGTAAAAGCCGCTGGACGGTCAATACGATGCATGTTGTTTTTTTTAAAAGCAAAAACACTATAATAGCACTCAATTTATATTATAAATTGGGTAACACTATAATAATAAAGAAAGAAATATCCCTTGCTTAAAACAAAATCTCCTAAGATGGCAAATTTTTCTCAAACACAATTAAGAATCATTCACGACTGAGCAAAAGTCAGAGAGAAGACGCAAGTGAAGAGTTGTTTTGTTTAGAATGGTAAGAAAACAGTTAAAAAAAATAACGGGGACACTTTGACTTGCCTCTTTACCTAGTTGAAAAGCTTGCAATGTTTGGGTACTCAAAAGTCTCGTTCAGATATTCGAAAACGAATGAAGGGCACGAGGTCTTAAGCGAAATACGTCAGTGGGTCAGTAAGATGGCTTATTATCATGATGTGGAGGAGCAGAAGCGCTTGAGGTAGGTCCAGATCTTTGAGAACAAATGGCAGGGGGGACGGAAACGCCCCTACCGGTTGCGGCGATCTCAACTAGATATTGGTTTATCGCCTCTAATTATTCGAACATTTTTTTCTTTGTCAGCGAGTGTTGAGATGCTTCTGCTCATGTTTTAAGAAAAGGGGAATGAGTCTTTGGTAATGACCTCAAAAATGAAGGTCCGGGATGCTCTGGAGTGCCAAGAGGCTTTTGGAGTAGACATAGGTAGAAACTAAGAAGGGATTGCCTGACAGATTTTTCATTCAAACCTGTTCTTTGTCCAAGGTGACGTAATTTTAAGTATCACACCCATCAAAAGTGATGTTCCTTTGAAGCAGAACTAAGCGAGTTTTTCGAATGAATGTTATTGGAAACATTCGATGCGTAGAATATTATGATGGATTTTTCTTCCTTTTGTTTTTTCTTCGGCTTCTCATCGTTGGAAGTTTGCGGGAAGAAAGGATGGGCTTATTTGGACGATTAAAATTCTGCTCGTAATAAATAACTCTTCCACTATTATTATTGATTATTGAAAAATAATATATATANCCACGGATATTGTTAGAATCTCTGAATTTTATTCATTGACTATTACGTTCGTTGAATGTAAATGCCTTGACTTTATCCGTTCCCTTCTCTCTGTGTTTTTTAGTAATCTATTTAAATGCAACAATTTATTAATGTCTATTATTGTGTCTTAAACTAAAAGAAAGAACACGAAAAAATAGTATTGAATTGCGGTGCTTAACCGGAAAAATCTGTCAATTTGGAAAAAAAAATCAATTCTATGCATATTTGCATGGTTTGTTGCAACAGTTGCATGGTTTGTCACATCTAAATAAGAAAAAAACTTGAATTAAAATGAGCTGCTCTTTATTAAGCTCTTTTTTCGTACATCTAAATCATCAAACATATTGTTTTAAATTACATACTACAATAAGTGTTTTACAAAGTTCATTTTTCAAAATATATCTCAACATTTGTCATTTTTCTTAATTATCAAGACAAGCAAACATTATGGAGTTGAGTATAACATATCATTGATTAATTTACATAGTTTATATTTTTTAGAACATTTCTTGAATAAATATATATTAATGTAAAGTATAATATATTTTTTCTGTATAGCAATGCATTTTGCTGCATTTACATCAAATCATGTCATATGTCATCAATCATATATATATATATATACATTACCATCAGTGTGTTAAATGCCAGTTCTTAATAAAATGCTAAGTCATTGACAAAATGATGCCTGGAGTTTTAAGGCAAAGTGTAAAACATGAGAATTATCATATACTTCACTTAAACATTTTATAAAATAAATGGGCAATATGTAAAATATTAATCCTTCCACACTTTACCGGTTGATTTTAGGCAGTCTATTCAACACGTAAACACAGAATGCCTACATTGCGTCATGTTTAAAAAATGTTTATAACTCTGACCATAGTTCTTAGAAATTTCACATTTTACTGATATTGTGTAAAAAAAAAAATAAGTCAATGAAAAAAAATTTAACTTTTTATAAATCAACAAATTAAATTAAGTTATTTTTTTTGTCAAATATAACTACATTATTCAATTTATAATTAATTATAATTGATCGCGTAAATTTTCCAAGACTTACTTCAGTATATGGCAAGTATTCGCCTGGAAAACTTTTTCATTATAAAAAACTTTTTGATTTTCTTTTACAAATAGAAACTTCTACATTGTAAGCATATATGTGTGAACCAAACTTTCTATGTTATAAGAAATAAATTTCTTGTATATTAACAAAATAAATTATAAATAGATCTTACCAGTACAAATAACAAAATATATTACATAAAAAAAATTCCACTAAATTATAAGTTAGAAACAATCTAACAACTTATGCATATAGATAACAAACTAATTCTTACAACATATTTCTCATGAAGCACTCTCATTCTTTGCATATTTTAACAATGTACACATTCTCAGATATTATGTGCTTAAACAAAATATAATAATTCATACAGGATAAAAATACTCTTTATCTGGGCTGTCAAACTTTTATACTATGTCTATTCTGTGCATGATATTGCATTTCAAACATGTATTTGAAACTATATTCTCAATTCTACTTTAAAATTTAAACTTCTGACGAATTTTACGTCTGTTTTCGATAGATGGATGTATAAAATTTATTATTATTCATGTCATATCTTTCACTACTTTGAATAAAAAATAGTTCTAGACGGAGAGAAGGAATTTACGGAAAGTACTTAATGGACATTTTTTTATAGTTTTGAAACTTTTTGATTTTCTTAGAATCGTTCTATTCAATATCTAACGTACTTGAAATGTTATTTACATGTGCGAATAGGCGAAGTTATTTTAACATAAATTGATTATAGTTACTAAAGAAATGCTTCGAAATTTAATTAGAGAAAACTTTATCTTTAAAAGTCGATGAAAAGTAAAGGATTACAATAAATATTAAGCTTGATGAAATTATAAAGGTAATTAGAAAGTTATGATTAAAATATTATAATTAATACTAATAATGAAAATGCTAAAAATGTAGAAAAGTTTAATCCTCAAGATTTACTGAATTTTAAATAATAGTTTGAGTATCAAAAATGATAAACGATTAAAATTATAATTATCAAAACGATTAAAATTATCAAAAATGATAAACGATTAAGCGAGTACGGAAAAATATTTGATTTAAAGAAATATATAATAATGAGCATGCTGAAGTTTTGAAAAATGCATAAATCTCATGTCAATATTTAGTTGTTTTAATGTTATCATTTATTTTAAAGCAAGGTCGAAAACGTGATGAAGTTTCCAATTAAATTTCATAAATATTAAGCTGTAGCGGATACCATTAGAGAAAAAATAATCAATAGAAATCCTAGTACATGTACGTAAATATCTCACTTTTTTTTCCTCGCATAAACTATTTCGTAATATTCCAATTCACTTCGAATTTGAAATATTGATCTCTCTATTAGTATTGAATAGATGGAGTTTTGATATAAACTAGTTTTGTTCTGAAAATTCCCTACAACTGTATTTTAACACTGAAATTTGATACATACCAGTATATCAAAAATATATTTCGAAATTTTCTTCTTGCTTTGTTTAAATTGAAATAAACTCAATCCAAAATAATATAAAAAATTTGTTGTTTTTTCTTAAAATTTGTTTTTTCTTCAAATTAAGCTCTCAAACTCAAAAATTTAAAAATTAACATTCTGAAAATTTCCATAATTTGCCTTTAGCATTAGTATACAAAAATATCCTGAATAAATATTTAAAAAAAAATTACCTGGCATCTGAATAATTGGCATATTTAAATCGATTAGTAAAAAAGGAAAAGCAAATAAATCTTAAAAATTCTGCAGAATAAAATATAATATTTTATATTTAGTAAAAATTTCTACATTATCGCTAAAATATTATAATTTTTTGATAGAACAAGAAAAAATTTCAGAAATATAAAATTAAAAAAAACTATAAACTATTATCATTTAATTTTAGAAAATCAGAAAATGGTTTTTGAGCAGTGCTATAATACTTAAATTTTACTTAGTCGCTTGATATTACGAATAAATTTCTTTGCATTTAGCAAGGAAAATATTTTCTTGAAGAAAAAAAAATCCAAATCGAGTAAAATTCAAGATAGGTTGCAAAATTTATTGGAATTCTTTCTTTCATTCAAACGGCAAAATGGAAGAAAAGAAACTTGCGTAAAGGTAAAACTTTCTCTTAGTGACAAATTTCCTTTCAATTGTTAAGCACCATTTCAAAATAGGAAGCTAGTTAAGATATTGACCATGTTAGAAACTTTCTTTACACTATTCTAATGGCAGAAACGCTTTTGTTTACCAATTGCAGAATTAAAAATGCTTTAAGTTCTAACTTTTGGTTACATTGATCAAGATTTAATTTACCCAATTTATAGTTAGCAACTACCACTTACGTACTATCAGTGTAAATCTTACTGGGGTAAAATTAAAATAAAAAATCTACTTGCTCTAATCTAAACTAATCTTAAACTAATTGCTCAAAAGCTAAAAGATATTATTAAAAATAATTTAATTTAGAATTCATTCAAATAAAATTATTTTCCAAGTTCATTATTTGTCGAGATTTTATGCGGAGAAAAAAAATCCGGTAAAATTACCGTACTGCATGGTAATGACATTTCTGCTAAAAGAAATCTGGTAATAAAAAACAAACTATAAGGTATTAAAATCATATGTTTGACAATTTCTCCGTTCATATGGTAACAGCTTAGATGAAGTTCTTGTTTTCTGAATTTCAATTCTTATTACCACACATTCAAGAAAAAATTCATAACTACGAAGAAATTTTAGCTGAATTGATTTTGCGCCATTCTTTAAGGTATCATGATAAAATTACCGAATTTTATCACATATTATAAAACCATACTTTATTATTAATTTTGCCAAAATCATTACCAGAGTTCTTTGGTAAGCTCAGTGTATGAGGAGACAAAAAAAATTACATTATATATTTTAAAGTATTGTACTTCAATAATAAATTTCAATCCGTTTTATTTCCATTCTCTTTGATAATTAATTTAAAGCATTTTAATTTCATTTATTATGATAATTAATATCAGTTACTTTGATTTTACTTTATCGTGATTATTGTTTACTTTATTGTGATAATAGTTTACTTTACTGTGATAGTTATTTTCAGTTGTTTTGATACCAGTTTACTATAATAACTAATTTAATAACTGAATAATCAATCAATAATTAAAAATTTAGATATTTTTTCCATTTTCTTTTTCAATTCACTGCAATTATTAATTTTAAGTAGCTTTCGATTTAGTTTTATTTTAATATTAAATTTATCTTAAATAACGAAAAAATGAGCTAGCTTATATTTAAGATAATAAGATCTAGTTTCTTAGAACAATACCGAGTATATGTCAAACTAACTCTAGTAGCTAACTCACATTTCTATAATGAAGAATATTTATGGATATTTGTTGCTATTGTATATTAATGGGGTACACAAAAATATCTTTCCAAAATTTTAATTACAAGGGTTTAGAAATTGTTTGTTTAAAACGCTATTTATTTGAACATTATTATTTTAGAAAATAAAAAGAAGCCGTTTTAAATCCTGGATATTAATTTTGAATTTATTGTTAAGATATATGCTATTTTAATCGTTGAAAATAAATCGAAATTAATAATAATATTTTTTAATTAAATATATAAGACTTCATACTGATAGAATGTTCATTTAAGACCCACAAACTAGACAGCATGCATGTTTGAAATCTTACATATTACATGATTGTATTAATATTATACATCCGCTATTACTCAGTTGCTTATGCTGTAAAATACATATTGTAAAGAAGAAGAAAAGATTTTAGAAGTTCTAAATAATTTTTTTTTAAAATTTCTCCATTAAATTTAAAAATTAAAGTATTGTTGATGGAGAACGAAATTGAACTTTTAGTTTAAAGTAAGATATTCATATCTTCTAAATCAGTTTCGTGAATTTTATGGGGAATTTTTATGGCATTCTGAATAAATCTCATTTCTAAACAGAAAAAAAAATTCATTAAAAATGCATCTACATTTGAAATGCAATTATTCAAATGATTTTTTTCATACAAAGAGGACATTCATTTCCTTGTAAAATACATGTCAGAGTTCTTTCATTAAATATACAAGTATTGAATGGATTTATAGAAAATGGCATTATTTTAAAAAAAAGCATCTCTTAGCAAATTAAAAACATTGTCTTCTGATATAATAAAATGACTTTGCTATAATTCCTAGGTAATGAACAAATATATTTAGTTCGTAAATATAACAAAATTAACTAATTTATGACATAAGATACTTGCTTGATCTCTTAAAATTATATTACTCTTTTGATATTAAAACATTGTTGGAAACTAATCCTTAAATAAATAACTGTATAATTTGTAAGAATATGTATGTATGAGTTATGGATTGGTCCCAAGAGGTTAGTGTCATTTTCTATATGTTTCAGCTGCTTATAAATTTCATATTTTACCATTATTATTAAAGCAGTGTTATTTTTCCATTTAGATTTTTTTTACATAAAAACGACTCACTTGAAATTCCAAGGTTGAGAACCGAACCAAACTTTTGATAAAACTGCGAGTCTTAAAAGTAATTAATTAAATTTATGCATCATTAAAAAGATTTTTTATTTTGATTTATATTTTTGCAACAACATGACTCGACTCCATAGTAAGATTTCAGCAGATTTGAATAATGTTAAATTTTACGCAGTTTATAATATTTTGTTCTATTAGCGTCTAAAGCTGTAAAAAGCTGTTTCTAGGTAGTTTCAACCTTACTGACTTGGATAATCTTGTAATAAGGAACATTATTTCTCCAAAATTAAATATATATATATATATTATATAGCTTTTAAAAGCTGAAAAATAATATGGTATTTTAAAAGCATCTTTTTGTAACGTTCATGTAAAAACTTAAATCATAAAGTAAATAAGAAAAAGGTGTATCGAAAATATCTCTTACTATTTCTTAATAAATGATAACTTAACTAAGAAATGATAACTGATTACGAACTTTCTTACTAATGTTTAGATAATGATAATCAAATAACCATAACAGAATAAAAACCACCTGATAATAAAATGCATTATTCTCCTATTTCTTCGATCCTTAAATATACAATAAGGTTAATTAAACATTTTAGTTAAATTAATGAAAAATTTTAATCAAACATTTTAATTATATTAATTAAACATTTTAATTATATTAAAGAGCAAGACGTGAATTCCGGAAATGAAATTATGAATAAGTTATTAAGCAATGATCTGATACGAGATTTCAAAGATTAAATACTACGTATAATTCTTATATCTAATCATTTAAATAGCTTCTTACAGACATTATAATTTTATCACATTTCATTGTTTTAAAATAAGCTTCAAAAATCTAATATATTATAAAGACTTTTAATTGCTCAACTTGGTTTGGAAGAAGACGCAGTCAAGAATGCTAATAAAAATCTAGTTTCCTTTGTAATGCTAAGCTATTGCTAAGATAAAAGTACTTATCTAACCAACTTACTTCTAGCTAATCTTGGCTTTTATGTTAGTAGACTCCGAGTTTAAAGAATGTATTTAACCAAAGATTTTAGTTTTAAAATTAATAAATTTCGATTTTTTTTCATACTTTCATTCTATTACGGACGGTCCTAAATTAGACGAACAGTTTTCAAAAATGAATATCTGGAAAACGATGAAAAGAATAAGAGTAAAAAATAAAGTTTTGCAGCAAATTTATGAGACATGGCATAGTTTACTCTTTTTAGAATTCCTATTTTTAGTTCGAAATATTTCCGTCAGATGCCGCTGATGATTATAATCCTGTAAAACAAAGAGGAAAAAAGGAAAGGAATCGTATCACAATTTCTTGAAAGAAATTAAAATAAAATTAACATTTTCGGAATGACAATATTCAATCACCAACGCGTGTTGTAATCAGAGGACAAAAACACACATAAGAAAGAACAGTAGAGATATTTACAGCGCCATCTGTCGATATATTTATTCCAATGGAACCTATAGCACTGTGAAGAAAACTTATACCCTGTCAGAAGTATTTGACTTACAAGGTTTAATTTATTGCAGGAATTGTTAGTTTTCAAACCTTAAGAATTTTTGCAAACTTTTTAACTTATTATAAAATTTATTATTTGATAAAATTTTAATTTCAGTCATGCATAAATTTCTTAATAGACTTTGTTAGAAGCAATAATGATAATAATATGTATTATGATATCGTTATTAAAAAAGTTTCGTACAAAATCATTGTTAATTACAATCATACAAAACTTAAAACTTAAACATCGAAGGCTTTTTGCAAGATAAGATTTAAAATACCGGGTGTTTGAAAATTGATCGATGATTTAAAAATGAATCAAAGAGAAATTACAGGACATATAAATGCATGATTTTTTCTGCATTCTGCTTAGGAACCAGAAAATTTATTCATGTCAAGCTTCGAAGTTTGTCAGCAGATGTCACTGCCAAACATAAAAACGTTTTAATTATTGTTTTAAGAGCAACCACCATTAGCAAAAACAAAGTTACGCAGTCTGAGGACAAAATCAACATACACCCCTGTAAATACTTTAAGTCAAACGGTCCAACATTCTGACAGTCAGCAGAAAGCATTTTTATAGTTCAGTCAGCACCGCCATCTGTTGATGAAATTTGCGACTAATTTTGAGTATTTCTTTCATTTTTCGTTAATTTTTTCACAAATCTTATGTCATTGAGATACCCGGTAAAACAATTAATTTAAAATATAAAAAAGATGCTGAATCGCAAAATATTTTTGTGCTGGATGTCCAGCGAATGACTGGCTGATTTCTAAGTTAAAATCTTGCTGACAATGGGGAATAGATGAGCGAAACAGTAGGAATGTTCATTGCGAAAGCTGTAAAAGTTTTAAACAGAAGTTCTGGTATTTCGCAACAAGGATTACTAATAGCCATCAATGATTAGAACGATCAGATTTAATTTTAAGCGTAAAAGGAGTTATTCGAGCAGAATTAGAAGGATTGATCCGTGTACATTATTGAACTGCACGTGTACTGAACAATTGATCACAGTTTTACAGCATTTCTATACTTTTCAAAAATTCTGTACATTATACAGCCCCATCTGTTAGCAACTTTTGCAACTAAATTCCAAAATTTCTGCATAAAATTTTCAGAGCTTTTAAATAGATATACCATTTGTTTAATTCCTTGATCATCCTTTATTTCCGAAATTTTTCAATCAGTCAATCAACCGCTGGATACTCTACAATATTGCATTATTTATTTTTTTTCAAAATAAGTAATAAAATTTTACGAAAATAAAAATAAATTTTACTGGAAAAGTTATGCAAATCTCAATATGTTTTTAACTGCTGAAATATTTGTTATAGTTTAAAAATAAAAATTTTTTCTGATTTCTTAAAATTCTTTCATTTACATTTTAACCATATATTTTCGAACATTTTTAAAAAACTCCCTTTATTTTTCAATTCAAATAATTTTTATATTCTTCCTTTTGATTTGTTTAATTTTTAAAAAAAATATAGAAAGTAGTAGATAGCTGTTATAAACGCAGAATAAAAATCTCACACGTTGTTCACAAATTTCCATTCCCTTCATTTAAATTAAAATACATATTTTTTTGCAAATAGTAAATAATAACTCACTAATACCGTCCTTCCAATCCACCTTCTTGCAAAAATAAGAGAACCGTTTATGAAAAAAACTTACATATTCAGTTATATAATCAAACTTATATACTCACTTTTTAACCAATTATAAATATAACAGTTCTTGAAAAGAGAGATGTAATATTTCTAAATATTAAGTGCTTCAAAAAATGTACCCAATTAAATATTTTCTAAAACATTAGATGAAGTAAAAGAGTTACCAATTATAAATTAATTCTTAAATTCAAATTGCCTTAGTTATTTATTTTTTTTTTTTTTTGTATGTTTACTACCGGAAATAGTTTGCATGTATATTTGTTGAACTGCAAGGTTCATTAAACAAAAGAAGAAGTTAACTTCTGATAGATGTTTTTATTGAATTAAATTTTTTTTTCGATATTTTAGTGATTATTCATTAAAATAGTTTGATACAGATAGAAAAAAGAGGTATTAATCGAATTAACTTTATTCCTTTCAGACCCATAATACGTTCTTTCGCAATTCTGTCAAGGAGCTACTTACTGCTTCTTTAAAGTAAAAAAAAATTTATTGAAAAGAAATAAGTTACTACGTTATCTAAAAAATTGATTAAGTACCAAAATTAAAAAAAAGAATTAATTTACTATATTGTACATAAAATACAAGCTATTATATCTATTGTATCTTTATAGTGAGAAAGAGATAAAATTTACTTGCAGTTAAAAATATTTGATGACTTCCAAATTTGGTAACTCTTTTTTACATATAAGTAATTTAACACTTATAAGTAATTAATTACTTATAAGTGTTGGTCAGAGATGATGCATAAAATATTTATATGATATTGTAAGGAGAACAATCAAATTCGGTATTTTTATTTGTAATTGCAAAATAGTGCTGCTGTTACAGCCATCTTCAAAACAATTCTGTACACAGCCTCTCACGTATCGGTCTTCATAGTAAAATCCACCACAATGGCTCATACGAACAAGCTCTGTGTCTATGGTAAGTGTACCGCTATCAACTGCGCAACCACGAACTACTAAAGTCTCTCCAGTATCACCTAAAAGTGTACAAAAGTACAAATTATGTACTAAATATAAAAATACATTTCTTAGTTTATTCGTAAGTGTAGTTAAAATTTTAAAAAAATGTAATTAGGAAGTCAAAATTTTTGATGGTCCCATGAAAACATTCTGATGGCTTATGTTGGTTTCAGTGCAATTCATGATGGCCCATTATCATTTGATGGTCAACATCATCCAGAATTTTCCATTATGCGTTCATGGTTTTTGATATGAAAACAAACTTCCATCATTCCACGATGGAAAATGCTACTTTAATACTATGAGAAATACCATCAAGAGATGTTTGATTTTCAAGGACCAACAATCCATGATGAACGCCTATAAACGGGTTTGTGGTTGAATAACGTGGGCGATGCTACTCCACTGCCGTATCTTAGCCATAGGTGCTCACTGGGTAATGATAAGAGAGTAGCAATTCTGGAATTTCTGAGGCCAATGGGAAATAGATCCAAGTGCCCGCCATTAACCAAAGAAAAACAACAACAAAAAACAATCCATGACGATCCGGGATGGTCCATTATGGTTCCAACTATACATTTCTATGATGGTTTAATGAGAATTATTGTTGGTTCAGCAGGAATATACCTTTAAAATAATTTGCTTTTTTAATGTTGGCCCATCAAAATCAGTCATTGTTATGATGGTGGTTCATAATAGTTCCAACATTTGATTTCTTAGAAACTGTGATGGAAATTTCTGATAGTTCAACATGAACAAACCATCAAAATAAGTTTCTATTATTATGCTGAACCATCATAAATCAATCCGTATTCCTACATTGGGGAGATGTTTACTTATGTTGGTTACTATCAAAATATAATGGTTCATGATAGAATTATTGATGGTTATCATCAAGATTATGTTGGGCCATCAATAGAAAAAAATCAAAAATTTTGACTTGGGCATGTAAAAAATAAGTCGTTGTTGGCAATTTTCGTGTTGCTTTAAATTAAAATCAAAATTGCCGCAGTTTTTTTTATGTCATTTTGCATTCAAACAATAAGCCTATAGTTTGTCTAAGGAAAGAACTCTCCTGGTCATGAAGTCTAAGGCGGTCTGCTGCTACGGAAATAAGAAATAGCGAATTTCAAAGAGAGGAGCTTCATTCTCACCAACCCGGGTCAAAATCTGTCTTAAATAATGACCCTAAACTTACTTATAGTTTGTCTATGTAAAGAACTCCCCTATCCATTCGTCAGGCGTAATGGCGGTCACTACAGTTACGAGGTTTAATTATTTCAAGTAGGGGTTACTTGAAATAATTAAACCTCGTAACCGTAGTGACCACCATTGCACCTGACGAATGGATAGGGGAGTTCTTTACATAGACAAACTATAAGTAAGTTTCAATGGAGATCGGTGCTTTCGTGTGGCTGTAGAGCTTCTGATCTTATAGTATGTCACGTTAGCTTTCGTGGCTAAAAATGTCACCTATCTTCAAATGTACCTTCAAATGTATCACCACCACTGAAAATCCAAAATTTCAACTTTGAAGTTGCGGGTTGTAATGTATACAAATGAGTCATGTGGAAAAATGTCAGTTTTTATTTAAAAAAAAGTTTTATAATAATAGGTAAGAGAAAGTGATCATCGTGAATGTAAAGTGTTAATAGATGTATTTGTCAATGTCGCCAATTTCTTTTATAGTGGTTATGAAATCGTTTCAGTATATTTCACATGAACTTGACAACTGCTAAAAAAAATGTGTTTAAGATTTATTACCAGTTCTCACTGGTTCTAACTACTCCGAAAATATCATATTTAATTTATTTAAAAATATGGAACAAAATAATTTTGAATATCAAAATAAATTTAAAAAAACATTACAATCAATGTATACATAGGATTGTTGAGACCTCTAATAAATAATTTGATTTATAATTATGACACATAATTAAAAAACATTAAACAGAAATACAAGCAGTTATGTAATTAAATATGAGTTATACTTATATGATAAACTTTAAATTTTAAATTGATTCTTAAACTTTAACTGATGACAATAGGCTTAATGAAATAAAATAAAATTTATCACAAATGCACTAAACTATTTACTAAGTACGTGAATGTTGCAGAAGGCTTTAATTGAAACCAGATTACTAGCAAAGTTGCTCTATTTGATATAATTTAAGTGTTATTGCATAAAGTGTGCTATAATGGTTTATCAGAAAACTTTATGAGAATTCTGCTTAATGCACTTTGAGTAGTTGGCATTAATTTATTATTCCAACGACGTCAAAATCTCTAAAGAGAACTATGTACTTAGAATTAAAGGAAGTTATTTTTTACTCTTCCTTATGTTATGTTAATGGGGTTTCTCAAGAATTGTAGGACAAATGAGTAAAATATTTGTAGAGGTGAGAATAAAGAAATATATCCGAGGTTAATGTTCTTTCCACGCAAACATGTCTTACCTTTTAGTGACGTTAAAGTTTAACTCTTATGTTTTTTTAAGATCCAAACATCTTAACTACAATCTTTCTTTCTACAATCTGTACTATAATCGATGTACAAAATGGATATTTCTTTTTAATATTTCAATTATTCATTTATTTTTGTTTGTTAATTCGTACAAAATTTATCATTTTTACCCCTTAAGCATGATTTTTAAAAAAAATTGAATATTTTAAAACTTTAAAATAAATCCGAAATATAACTATATTTGTATAATATAAAACTGTATTGTATAATTTTTCTTTTTCTATCTTGCAAGTATGTATTGTCTTGTAAGTATGGTCTTTACTTTGGTAATATTGACTTTATTGTATTTTTACCCGTTTTCACACGCTTTACTATCACTTGCTGTTTGGTCCTGATAACGAACGTCGTGTCTTGGGTGCAAAAAACATGCCCAGAGTTTCGAATTTTCGTGAAGCAATAAAATTGTTTATTGTTATTGTATTGTACAATTTTCCCTTTTTTATCTTGCAAGTAAGTTCTCTATTTGCCGACCGGCCTGTGTAGGGTGCAGGAAACTGTCCTTGCATCAGAAAGGTTCTGGGTTCGAATCCCGGGCAAGGCATGGATGTTTCTTTCTCTCTATATGTGTTCTATGTCCTTTCTCATTTGTGTGTGAATGTGACCCGCCCTATAAACGGGTCGTGGTAGCGTGATGTGGGCGACGCTGCTCCTCCACCGTGGCTTCGCCACAGGTGCCCACTGGGTAACGAAAAGAGAGTTAGCAGTTCTGGCACGTTCTGTGGCCAATGGACAATAGTTCCAAGGGCCCACCATTAAAAAAAAAAGTTCTTTACTTTGGCAATATTGACTTTATTGTATTCTTATCTGTTTTTCTCGCTTTACTATCATTCGCTGATTGGTCCTGATAATGAACATCGTGTTTTGAGTGTAAAAAACATGCCCACCCATTCTAATTTTCATGAAGTAATAAAACTGATTTTTTAAATTATTTTTTCTTGAGTTTTTTACGACAATTTGTGATTCCGTACAATAAAAATAATTTAGAATAAAACAAACAATAAATATTTCAAGTTGATAATTTTGAGACAATTTCTTGTTTGGCATCTTTTAATTTATCATATTTTTGTAAAATTACTCTGGCTCGATTCAAAAACTATTTTAAACCAAGAAACATTCTGTTTTTAAATTACATAACATTAAAAAAAATGTTGAGATACAAGATATATCCTGGGTCTAATAGAATAGATAGAGATTTGATATAAATAGAAACACCAAAAATATTTATCCAATTTCAAATAGCTAAATGAAACTTTTTAGGAAAAAAATTTAAAAATGGTAAATCAAACGCCTCTTATACTGTAGTAGTAATCCGAAATTGCAATAAATGTTATGGAGTTTTATAACAAATTTAGACTGCCTTGATTACATTTTCCAAGAAATGCTTACTTACTTTTTCAGCCATTTTAATCAAACATGTTTTATTAAGCTGTCAAAAAATTCCTTTTCGTTATATAGTTTAATAATGTATAAATTTATTTATAATGGGTTTGTATAAAAGAAACATATAAATTTCAGTAACATCAATATTTAAAAAAGATTGTTAAAAGGTACTTTTATGTTTGAAAATAAAGACAAGCAAAGATTATTCAAGGAATATATCCTTTTGTTGCGAAATTTTAAGGATTAGCACTCGTTTAGTGATATTTGAATTGTGTTCTTAAAATTCATAAAATTTCAAATATTAAATCAAAAGTTATCTAATGTGGCTATTTTTTTCCACTGAAATATATTTTAGCTTAAAAATTAATATAATAATAAAAATAATTTAGCCATTGTGTCATAAACAGTTTTTTTCCCATCTTTAACTTTCCCAAAATCAAGTTTTAATCTTATCCATAAACACTAAAAGCATGTTGATTATTTCAAATAGTTACATAAAATTAAAGGGACATTCGAGTTAAATAAATAAGAAGATTGTAAAATGCATTTAAACAAATTTGTTTTATAAATAGAAATGAAGCAAATTAAACATAATTAAGCTGAAAAGGCGTTAATTTTAGTACTCTTATAAATTATTAGATTTTACTTTATTGTATTTTTAATAAAAAAAATGAAAAGTTTATTTACCTAAATGGTAATTATGATAAATAATTAAAATATTGAGCTAAACCTTAGATTTAGATTCTTTTAGCTTCTAAAACTTGAGCTTTAAATAATGGCATAAAATGCAATTTACTTTTCTTAGAAGTATAGGGGTTCAGACATTCATAAATGTGATAAAATATTTTAAAAAAATCAATCAAATTCACAACACTAACTTTTTTTTTTATTTTTAATTACTAATTAATGTTGTGCATTAAATATGATAAATTTTATTGTTTAGAATTTTTTTGCATATTTTAGGATATTATGTATTTTTTCATGTTTTGGCCATGAGACAAAAACTTTTGAACTGAAATTATAAGATAACATTGTCTTATGCCACAAAATTTTCCGAAAGATTACTCGAATCAAATTTCTTAGATTTCCTATTCTTTCTCATTGTAAAATCTCCGACCTAAGGGTATAAAACCAATTGTATTTTTACATAGAAAATCATTCTCTAATTTGTTTTGTTGCCTTTACAAAGAAATTTAACATAGAAAATCTCTTTGTACAAGCATACAAACAAAAAGTTCGTAAAATATTATATTTAAGTGATAACATTATCCTAAGTTCTGTTCAATATTTTGGACGTTGGTTCTCAGGAACTTAAGCTAGTTCCATAATTGACGTATACAGACGCAGTTCCATGATAGACGTAGTTCCATAATAGACTTTGAATATTTTAATTTTTTGTTTATTCATGTTTAGAAGTAGAGACAAAGAAAAATAACGTTGTTTATTAAGAAAACTATTTTTGTATCTAAAACTAAACAAGGGGCACTAACTAGTGACATCTTAAATGCGTTTCTTAAGTTCAAAAAAATTTAACAAAGTATTTAAGAAAGTATCGACTTTGTCTAAGAGTTTTTTTTTTAGTTTTAAATTTCCAATTAAGATCTAAGTAAAAAGAAAGTATCGACTTTGTCTAAGAGTTTTTTTTAATTTTGAATTTCCAATTAAGATCAAAAATGCGTTAAAAAGCAGCCTACTTGCTAAAAACGTTGTTTTATTCTTTACTTTCACAAACTTATTTCTAAGAAAACTCCGAAAAATTAAAACAATGTTTAAATTAATTCAATTTAAAAATAACATTTGCATAATATTTATCATGTTTTACAAACATTTGTCCTAAGTTTTAGACCCATAGCTTAACAGTTTAACTGAAATTGTATATTCAGTTTCCTTAAATATTACATTTTGAATTCAATAAAACCAAAAGATTATTAAACCAAAAGATAAAGATAAATAATTAAGATAATGACCGACACCTTAGATTTTAAAAGTTAATTGTTTTCATTACTGTCGCAATTATGGGAAGAAAATTACTTTTAATCGCGTATTTAAAAGCGAAACAGTAGTAATTAGAAAAAGTTCTTCCTTCCTAGAAAAAGTTAACTCCTTCTAATGCTTAAAAACATTCATTAAAGGTTTGACATTATTAATTTTATTTTTTTTAAATTTTTAATTGGAAAATTAGATAGGTAACGTTTGCTGCTCTGCTCATTTTATAGCAGTAAAGGGACAAAAATTTAGTAATTATTGCCCTTAGAATTTAAAAAAGTATATATTTTAAAAAGTTTTAAATAATAATTTTTAATTTTAACATTTATGCATTTTTAACTGAAATTTTTATTCATGTGTAATTTTCATTTTCATACTTTTTTTTATATAAAATGAACTTTTATTTACATATAACAAATGAATTTTCGTTTAGTAAGTCAAAATCTAATTTGCACTAATTAGTAAAAATTATGATTTTAAATATTTTGTGATTTTTTGAAAGGAATGTCTTGAAAAAATATAAATAAGAACATAATTTGAAATCTTATTCGTTTCACCGAACTCCATTTGAGTGACAAACGGGAAAACATTGCAAAAACCTTTCAGCAAAATTAACATCGTTGAAGTTTTCCAAAAGAAAATCAAAGTGTATGCATTCGACCAAACATTGGCTATGAGAATACAGCAATAAACACTTTAAGCATGAAATTGTTGAGGATGAAGATTTAGGACAAAAGAAAGTACTTCTCGGGATAAGCTCATATATTCTGAGTAAATGTGCGCTTTCAAAGATATTACGTCTACTCAACAAACTTGTCTAAATTTAGAGTTCAACGTGAATGGTAGTTAGAAAAAAAAGTTTAATTCAAACATCTTCTCAAATACTTGGGAGAGAAAATGAGTTTTATTATGTGAGAAAAATGCTTATGGCGCAAGAAGGTTAGTAACAGACGAAATAAAATTTTAAAAAGAGACGAAAATGAATAACATGGTCACCCTTAACACTAGAATAAGGTTATTGCGAATTTGAACGAAATTATAGTTCAATACGCTCCAAAAGTTTTAACTATTTAACCCCTTCCTTCTCGCTCCCGTGAAAATGACGGGGTGAGTTTTCGCTCGCTATTTCTCGCTCCCGTGATATTGACGGGATGGAGTGTTCAGTAGTAATGGGCCAATAAGAATAAAACTAATTCGTTTCTTTTACCCGAAAAACACTTCATTTCTTATTTTACACACCATATAGCAGTACCAGGATATTTTTAATGTAATTGTAAATAGTTAGTTTATTTTAAACTAGATACTAGCACTAATCAAATACGTGTATTTAGCAAAATAGACACTTTTATGACCGTTTTCTTAATAATTAACCGATCGTTAAAGGGTTAAAACACTGGTACTTGTTTCTCAGTATACTTTAATTCTGATACTTCGGTACTTTCTAGGTCCTCGCTATTTTTTCAAATTATAATTATTCTGTTCTCTAATAAACAACAATAAGGTATGTGGAGTTAAATTGCTATATTTTCTGTTTTTAATAAGTAGTCATTTTTGGTTTTAAAAGTGATACACATAATTTTAATATCCCCATTTTTGAATAAAGTGGTCAAAATATGCAATGTTTTATCTATCTGAACGTCAAAGTCAACCAATTTGAAATAAAGTAATTATAAGAACTTTTCCGGTATGTTTCCGGAACTTTTCCGGTATTTTACCTGGAAGTCTCGTATCTTATTTGAGTATAAATTAATCAAAAATATTAAAATGTTACAAAAATAGTACTCATTATGGTAGTATACTTTGTATCAATAAAAAAAAACTCTCAAGACTGAAAGGGTTACTGTTACTCTAGTACTGGTAGTATACTAGAACTGGTAGTATACTTTGTACCAATAAAAAAACTCTCACGACTGAAAGGGTTACTGTTGCTCTCTAAGATAACCGTAATCTCATCTCTTGAACCATAATATTTTGAAACTGTGCTACAACCTTAATAAATTGTTTAACTGAGCTTATTTCCATTTAAATTATACCATATTATCATTCAACCCAGACTATGTAACCATTCTATAGAGGGATAATAATAATGCTGTAATTATCATGAGATAAAGGGATTTAACTTGGTAACATCTTAAAGTACTAATTTAAATGCGCTCCAAACCCTTTATGAGTTTATAAGATCGTATTTTAACTTATAAAACAAAAAGAAACATATAAATGTCTTCCAATTGTTTCCATTCAGATAAAAGAATTTTTTTTCTACAAGAGTTTTAAATTCTCGTAATATATATTCAAAGTACAAAACACGGCCATTTCAAACCATAAATGCCACTCACAAATCTTTTTAATGACAAAGCAACTAAAGTTTCAATACCATATGTTCCGGCAAGTTTGACACACGTAGTTGCTGGAAAGACTCCATTTCTTTGCTTTCTTCCTGCCCAACATGGGCTCTCTAAAATGTCTCGGGTATAGTTATTGTGAAAAGGATCGTCACATGGGGGGTATGTGCCAGCAGTAGATATACATTTAAAACAATCAAGACCTAAAACACCTGTGATAAAAACACAAAAGAATTACAGTTGGAGAAAATTTTATTATTAAAACTTTAATTCTAAATTCATTCAAATATGAAATAGTTCATAAATATTGTTGTGTGAATTTAAAAACTTCTTTACCCTTCTTTTTAAGTTTTAAATATATTTTCCACATTCAACATAAAATATATTATTATTAGAATTTCTGACTGTTCTTTCTGTTTTTTCTTGATTCCGTTTTTTATTTACAATCTCAATAGAAAGGAAGTTAACCGAATAAACTATATGCATGTATTACTATACAATGACCATTAATTAATAATTATTTAAAAATATTTGAATTATTGTGCATTATTTTACTTAGATTAATACATTTTATTCAGTAAAAAAGAAAATAAAACTGAGTTACTAAATTTAAATTTCATGTATTTCAGATATTAAAATATTTAAAAAAAGTTTTAATTGTTCAGATACCAATAACAATAATCAGATAACAATATCTACAAAATATTTTTAGAAAATATGCACAAATCAAAAAAGTTTTATTTTTAATATAATTAGTTAAATTATTAATATAAAAGTTAAATTATTAATATAAAAGTTACATTATTAATATAAAAGTTAAATTATTAATATAAAAGTTAAATTATTAATATAAAAGTTAAACTACTAATATAAAAGTTTAATTATTGATATATATGTTCACAAAATTTTATCGAGTTAGATTTACAAATAATCAATAATAAATTTTATCGAGTTAGATTAATTAAGGAAATTTTTAACTCAGAGGTGAAAAATAAAATAATACTGCTTAGAAAAATCATTTAAAATCTATGAATTAAAAAGGAAACAAACGGATGCATTTTTAATTAAAAATATGAATATAAATTTTCAAATTAAATATTTAAAATTAAGCATTATCGTTCTAAAGATTTTCTTTACCTTGGTAAAATAAGGAAATGATAAAGACTTGAATTATAATTGGCAGACTAAACAGCAAAACAAAATCGGAGAAAGACTTCATTATTTAGAAAAAATGAGAGAACTCTTTCCTAAAAATAAAATAAAATTCATTAGAATTGAGAAATTTCTAAGAACAGCTTTTGATTTCAAAGAAATCTTATCATCCCATTATAAAATTTCTTTGAAAAATAAATTAAAATACTGCATATTTGGAGAATGCATATAAATATCAAATCATAAATCTTTTTAGCATATAATTTAAATAAGTATTATAAAATCATTTATTAAAAAGAATAAGAACTTGAACATGAAAAGCATCGAAGACTTTTTAGTTTATTGCTTTTAGCAATATTAAAAACTAAATTTTAAAAAAGCATTAACAAAATTAACATTAAATAATTATGATCATAAATTGGATTAATTGCAACAACTGAGGCGAAAAAGGAATACTTTTAAAAATTGTTTCATGAATTAAGTATATTGTGCCAATTAATTTGAAAATTAATTAAATTTTCAAAGTTTTTTTAAGTGATTTAATACCAAGTAATTTTAAGCTATATGTATTTGCATTACTGTCGATAAGTTATTGATATTTATAAAATGTCTAAAGCTTTGAAAAGCTGAAATTTCCATCAGTTAGAAAGAAAAAATAAGCATTAACAGAGCAAATATTTTGTATTTCATTGCACTAGTAGTTATCCAATTATTTAATTAAGACATAAAGAAGATTTACTTTTTGAAGTATTTACATGGACCATAATATAAAGTATTTGTTTACTTAAATTATCCTTTTATCTACATCACAAAAATATTTAATGAGTTGTAAAGAATTCCGGCTCAAATCACGGTATGAAATATCGGCACTTTGAGTGGATCTTACGTAGAATCCATTTTTAACAAGAAAATTCCACTTTAACCGTAAAATATTATACCGTAATTTTTGCAGTAACATTTATTTAATTAGAGTGACTCCGTAATTTGAGGGTGATTATTACTGTAAAAATTATAGTATATCAGATTTTTTGCTCCGTAACATGTTATGGTAAAAATGGATTTTATCAAAAAAATTGCCGGCACTTTTTACGGGATTTTTTAAAGTGTACTTGCCAACCAATCATAAATTAATTCAAACTGAACGCAATTTTTATCACTGAGTTTTAAAGGGGATTGGCAGCTTCATATGTTGAAAAAAAATTCATTTATGTTTCATTTCCTTTTTGAAAGATTTTACTTCTCATGGTAAGAATCCAAAACCGTTTCTAAGTAAAGAAGATGGCATAGCACTTAAAACGACACCAGCATGCGTGGATGTAACTTTACTTAAAATTTTCAAATCCTTTTTGTTAGGAATTGCATTATCTTTCTCTTTTTATGTACAGATAATCGCATTATTTAAAGCTCTGGTAGCTGAAGTATAAGTGCAAAAAAGTATTTTTAAGTCCAAAGACACGAGTACTTGAAACTAAGGAATAACTATTGGATTCAACTAGTGATATTAAAATTCAAAGTTGATTATCTCAAAACTATAAATTATCGATTGGAAGTAGTCTTTGCTTCTAAACCACGCATTTAGTACTTTTAGGAATTTTTTTTTAAAAAAATGAAATTTTTTTTCAATTAATTTTTCTATTATTTTGTTTAATATTAAGATTTAATAAGAAGATCATTTTTCACAGACTACAAAATACGATATAAATAAGAACTATTATTGTATTAACTAATTTTGGATAAACATAGCGACACATATTTTAAGTTCAACCGAACTCCATACAATACAAAAACTTGTTTTGACGCAACTTTATTGTATCTCATTTAAACACAATTTATCAACAAAAAATTGAATTTTGAAAGTACACTTGCCGCTTCCTTATCAAAAACGACATCTGTTATTTATACATTTTTATTTATGTTAGAAACAAATTATAAAAGTAGAGGGGTTTTTTGTTAAAGAAATGGAAAGCAACTATGATTCCAATATGGAAAAATTAGCATTAAAAAAAACTAACAATCTTTCGTACCGTAACTTTGTTTTGAACCAATTTAAATAAATTACCTCAGTAGTATAAAAAACTAGCTATCCTGAATATTTACCCGAACTATATCATTAACTATATCTTTGCATTAGTTTAAAATGTTACAAAAAAAATTGTCAACGTGATATGTAAAATGCTTGTCAACGTCATATGTAAGCAGATCTATGATATTTTAAATTCGTAAAGGCAGAATAATTCAAAAAGTATAACTAAAAGTATTACCATTATCAGTTAACCCGCTTTAAAAATAGTGAACACAGGCGTATACTAGAAATTATTTAACTAATTTTGAAAATGAATGCTCATCAAACTTATTAAATAATGGTGAAATAATTGGAAAAGCTAATTAGCTCAAATTTAAAAATTCTAGTACTGAGTAACTTTAAGAATTAAGTAATGAGTTTAAAATTATAAATTTTTAATTATTTTCTCTTTCAAAATTTAATTACTCAAAATGATTGATTTGATGATAATATAAATGATTATTTCCAAAATATTAATGATTATTTCCAAATAAATGATTATTTCCAAAATAAATGATTATTTCCTAAAAAAATAGGTTTGTTTCATATTTATCAGCTTTGAACTAAATCGTAAACAGAATAATTTACAGAATATAGAAAATAAATTGTTAATTAAATTGTTAATTAAAAACATTTTCTGAAGAATTCCTACATCTTGAATGTGCAGGGTGGAAAATGGTGTAGTGTACTGTTAAATATTAGAAAGCTTTTTTTTTAAAGTTAATTCTAGTTTTTAGTTTTTTAATTTTTATTTCATTTGAAACTTATATTTTCCTAATGGCTTTTTTAGTGTCAATCTCTGATTAGAGAAAGTGCCACGACAGTTAAAAGAAAAATAAAGAAATTTTGGAAATAAAATTTTTAAATCTCTGAAAAACAACTGCAGATGGCGCAGCTAATACAATCTTGATATTTATTCGAATTTTTGAAGTTTCGAGATAATAAAAGTTTTTCTCAAATTATTAATGCATGCTGAAATGTATTTAATATAAATATTACTCTAATTTAAGGTTCTTTTATTCCTTTAAAATTGCTTTATGTCCTCACCTAGTTAATATGTCTTGTGAATAACTATGCGGTAGCATCAAGTTTCAGTGGTGGTTTGCTGATAAAAATGCCAAAAAAATGAGAAGATTTGGCAGATTGTGAAGTTAAGATTCCTTATCTAAACTACCTGAGGATATTAGTCCGGTGGCTTCTAGATGATCGAAGGTTACCAGTAACAGCAATGTAAAGCCGTTGATTCAAAGAATCGGAATTGCGGAAGAATCGGAATTGCGGAAGTTATTTTAAAGGAAAAACATCACCTCTAATGTCAGCTATGAACTATAAGGAACACCGTGAGGATTTAAAAATTATTCATGAATAATTTCCATCAAAAACAAGCCTTCTGATCAATAGGATTAGTAAATAACAAACACTAATTTTACCTAAGGTTTGAAAGTGTTTTTAGTAAGCTGAATCAACTGATTAATATACTGTTGCTTTAATGCTCTCCGTGATGATCCATCTGCAAGCTTATCTTTTCAATAGTATATGATAGTCTGAATTTAACTAATTGATTAAGGGGCTCCCAAGAATAATTAAAGTGAAGAATAAATGTTAAAATAATAAATCCTAGTTAAAGTTTATATGAGATTTGTTTATTTGCATGGAAATTGTGCCTGATTATTTTAAATTGCTTTAAAGATGGAGATAGATTTTAAAAGTTTATTTCATGACCATGTCATTTGCAAATTTAGAATGAAGCCTTGTTTAACTGCATTTCAATCGGGTTTATTGCGAAATTAAATAGTTTTGATTATTATCATGGAAGTTATCCGTTCCCTTCAGCAAAGAACATATTGGTAAATGTCTGCGTTTTCAGCGGGAATTGAACGCACTTATTTAATGATTTACAGTTTGAATATCACGTGTTTTAATAATTCACTTAATCATTTAGTTTCAAGGACAATCAGGAAATTATTAGGAAATTATTATCAGGATATTATTATTTTTTGTGAACTGTTTTACATTAATTTTAATTTGAGTTACAATAAGATTTTCCAACTGAGTTATGTTTATTGCACCAAACCAATGTAATTAATTTTAATTCTTAACTGTGAACTTTAATTACCCTATAGTAAAGTAGGTATATTCTTGAAGAATACTTTTTTCAATTTTTATCTAATGTTTTCATTTAGCGTGTCTGAATACGAATTATACATTTCTAAAACCTAATTTCAATGCTTCTTATAGAAAATTTTTAACGATGCCCTCTTATTTTAAGCTTGAACTGCAAACGTTTCAAAATGTTTGAATGAAATTTAATGAAACAATATTTCGAAAATGTGTCTAGAATATTTATTATTGCAATACCTTTAAATATATTTAAAAGAAGCAAAAGTATTAATTTACTAAAAAATAAAAAAATAGAAAAAAATCTAAAAATTGAAAAAAATAGGGGAAGAACTTAATTTTAATCGGTATCGATAAAGTACTTCAAGAGACAGGCATAAGGCATCCAATAACCTAAAGATCTATTAATCTGCGAAACAAAGTTAGACAATTTAATTTCCAAACTATACGTCTAAAACCAAAATACAAAATAATTAAGGCATTAAGAAATAACTTTTGTTCAAATTAAAATAACGTAAGTTCTTAAAGACTTAATGCGTTATGACTATTATTTCAGTAAGATTGCTCATAAGTTAATTTTTTCTGAAATGCAATGTAACTCATATCAATAATCTTTTAATCTTTTTAAAAAATGGGTCAATCTTGAACCATAATGTGGCACAAATTTGCTACAACCTTAATAATGTATTTATTTAAACCATGTTTCTTTTTAAGTTAAATCACAGTATTGCGTAATCAAGTTTAAGAAGTGCGATGTTATATTTAATTTAGAGCAATATTAAATTTGCTGAAACTACGAATGGCATTTATTACGCTTCGAAATGCTCTAGAATTTCTTTCAGCGTAAGCAATGAATGATGTATAGTTATTTTTCGGCTATCTTTTCTAGAAACAAAAATCACCTGAAATAATTTA